TGACAATGAATGTGGTCAGCAAATTTTTTTTTTTACATTAATAAATATAATAGTTATTTCACAAATTCTTTTTTTTTCTTTTTTTTTTTTAATAGTAAATGCTGAAATCTATGATAAAAATATTGAAATCTCAAAATTACAAGAAGATTTTGCCTCAATTATCATAGAATGGAAAGAAAGAAAAGCACAAGATATTCGAAGTCTTCGCGAGGCTTTTCAACAAACTGCCCAAATTGAAAAAGCGAGAATTGCTAGAATCGAGGCTGTTCCACAAGTTGATGAACAGAGAATCCCTCAAATTGCGCCAAATACGAAGATTAGAAAACAGAATAAATTTTAATTTTTTATTTTTATGTATATATATAAATTTTATAGATTTTGCATTTATGTGCTTGATGGTAATCAACTAAAATTGACTAATTTAATAATATTTACCATTACTAGTCCTTAGAGCTATGAGAAAATAATTAAAATCAATATTATGCAATAATTTGGCAATTACTTGAGATTATAAAACGTCAGAAATTTGTATTATGTGTAATACTAAAGCCTTGTAGTATAATAACTCAAATTAGTTTCGCTGTTAGTAATATAGACACGTATGTGCCTAGAAAACTTTTTATTAATAATTTAATTGTTATGAATATAAAACACCATGTAAGCTAGATAATAGAATATATATAGTATAAATGAAAAAAAAGAGCATTTACTATGTGAATTATCAAAATTATTAATTATAACGATTAATGTAAGAAATATTCAAACTTTTTTAGAATTAACTTTATGAATTATTTAAAAAAAAAAAGTTCGAATATTCATCGAACAGCAGCAATCTTGAATATCTTTAGACGATTCAGCTCCAATAGATAAAGATAATACTTGGTAATCAAAGCGAGTATAAATTTTAGGATTAGCAGTCTTCTTTTATTATATTATGATTTCTATTGAGTATTTACTCACTATCTGATTTCATAAATAAGTATGAATATTTCATTTTTTATAACGCAACTGATGGCCAAAAGCTATTAATCATGTACTAACTACTTATACTATAATATAAATTATACAAATCAACAAAATACTAGACATATACTTAAGGTAATAGTATTAATGAACTTTGAGTTAGAGATAATACGAATTAAACCGATTTTTTTGTATTAGTTATCTTAAATTTATATTGCCGATTTGACATTGGGATGCATAGTTACATAATCAATTTTGTCCAATCAGCGATAGGAAGATCATCACTCAATCAGATGGTGGGGGTAAATTAGTAAAATCATGATGATCCCAGCCACTATTTGGTCCGACTATAGTTACAGGATCAGATATCTCAACCTTAAGAAGACAGTTACCATAACACAAATAGAAATTTGAATTTTCATCACCGGTGGGGTTCAAACTCTTGACTTGCCGCTTGGGGGGTGACAACTTGACCACTTCACTAAGTCACCACACCCTTGATATATGTTAATAGTAATCTAAGACAATATCTTTCTATATCTTTTAAAATTAACCATATACATATATGCAATAATCTTATTACCTCTAAGTTTCTTTAGTTTTTATTGCTTAAATATTTCAACATGATAAGATTTTTCTTGTAACTTAAAATTAAATAAACATTAGTATTCTTTTGAAGCAGAAATATATTTAGCATCAAGATAATTTTTAATCTTATTATTTTTTATTCATCAATTATCAAGATTATAATCAGCTTTCTGACTTTATAACTAGTATTTCTTCTATGATAGAATAGATAACCATTTTATTTACAATAGTTATACTATTAAAATCATATATATAATGTTTACTATATATACTATTTTTTATATACAGAGAAGATAGTTTAAGAGAACTACATAGACTATGAATTATATGTTTAGTAACTATTTGATAAAGCTGAAGTTAAGTAAGTAGATTAAGAATCTCAGCAGAAATCAAATTGTTATAATCATTAGAAGTTTGTGGTTTATCTTTAGTGATAAGTATAATAAGTATATAGATATATAGTAATTCTTATTTTTGAAATTTAATAATATGAATATAAGCTACATTATATTTTAAAATACTTTTTTTGTATAAATTATTAGTGATTTCTTTAAGCTTTAATCTAAAGACCCTTGAAATCAAATCAGATCAGTTATTAGATTTTGATCTTGTAAAAGATTTTCAGTTATTTTAGGTCAGTTAGGATTACAGGTAACAGTTATAAAAAAATCAGATTTATCAAATTCTCTTATAGTATCCATAGCATTTTGGTATAACTGCTGCATATATCTCTTTAAATTAGTAAATAAAGAAGGTAAAATAATTTTTTTCCCAATTTCAAAAGAATTAGCTTCATCATTATTAATAATATTTTTTAAACCTTTATAATATTCAATCTATAATTAAGGTTAATTATTTTTAAACTATCTTAAATAATTTTGTTCCTATTTAGTATACTGGTCAATAATATATTGCTAAAATAAGTAATTGGCAAAATATAAAATACTATTAGAATCTTTTATTTGTAATCTATGACATGTAAATTCTCTAATTGTTATATATTTTTGAAGTTGCTAAAAATCAGTAGTATTTAATAGTAAAGTATTTAATTAATTATAATTAAAATTTAAATTAATATTAGTATTAGAATTTTAATCAATTATAGTTAAATACATAATTTTAGTATGCTATCTATACTCTTCTCTTAAAAAAAGAAGTAGATACTATAAAGAATCATAAGTACTATATAATTCTAAAATATGTCACAAAGAATTCTATTGTGTAGTAAGAATAATATCTCTACTAAAATCAATTGTATCATTATCAGTAATTATATAGCAGCAATTTCAGAAACAACTAGTAAATTATAATTTCTCATATCTTAAGAAGATATATTAGAAAATTTTAATTTTAAAGTAGAATTTCTTGTGGCCTGCCATCTAGCACTTTGAAATATTTGAATAAAAAGATTAATATAATTAAGTTCAGTTTGTAAAGATCTCATCATATCTAAATTCAAATTTGAAGATGTTTTATTTTTTAATACAAACTGAATATCAAAATTATCATTATAAAAATAAATTTGTGCAAAATTTGGCTGCTCATTTGATAATATTAAAAAACTATATTATGATATAATGCTCCTGAATTCTAAAAATATAAGATTTACCTTCTTCAAAAATATTACAATTTATAGTTATATCTAAAGATATAAAAGCAAAAGTAGAATTATAGAACCTTATATTTTGAATATATCTCTCACTAGTATTAATATTAAAAACTATGATATAGCTAGTAGAGGTGGTTTAAGTAATGTTAATTTAATTTTATTATTAAGGCAGCAAAATTCTGACAATTCATTGTTTTACTTTAAAGCTTGATAATAATTATATCTAATATTCAAATTACTAAGCTTATATTGCCAAATAGAAAAATCAAAGCTATCTTCTAATTCAATATTAAAATTATTCAAACTATATCTTGCAATATTTCTATTTCTATATACTTGTTAAATTGTATTTGTTGTTCTATAATTTCTATACTGAATTTTATTTTTCTTCTTTGATTTTGTTGTGTTGTTATTAAAGTTTGCTGATATTTTTGTTGTTATAAATAGTTAAATTCTTTTTGTTATAAAGTTATTGATAAAGAATTTAATGTTGTTGATTTTGTAAATGCTGCTAATAATATTATAGAAATAAATAACTGTGATTCACCTAATACTAATACTAATTCTAAGCTTGTTGGTAATATTGTTGCTGTGATATTAGTATAGATAGTATTGCTAGTATTGTTGCAAATGTTGTTATAGATATTGTTGCAAATATTGTTATAATTGTTGTTGCAGATGTTGTTGTAAATGTTGGTGCAAATGTTGTTACAAATATTGTGGTAGGTATTGTTGCTGATATAGGTGTTACTACTATTGTTGCTGCTACTATTGTTGCTATTATTGTTGTTACTGCTATTATTGATGTTGAAATTGATATTGCAAATATATATGTTATAATATAGTGAAATTTTATTAGTATATTTTATATTTTATTAGTTAAATATTATTAGTATATTTTTAAATTTTTATTA